ACTCCGGGGACTTCCGGCCGTGGATTTTGGGTGGCAGTATACGCCGTGAATTTGTTTGTGGCCTGCCAGTAAATCCAAAGCAGAAGAAGAAGAAGTGACGTCAGCGCCTTCATTTGCCTAATCCACCCCCAGGAACTAATTTCCGGTGTGAACGCGATCTGTACTTAGTTCATGAGAACTAAAGAGTTCTCTGGAACCTTTGTGGGAAAAGTACTTGGTGTGAACGCGCCTAATGTTAGTCATTCTAATGTGAAATGACACCGTGTTATCATTTTATTTCATTGTTTATTTGGCAGGGATAATGCACAGTAATGAACTTAAAACATTCAAATGCGTCAAGCGTAACAGTGCCAGATTTAGCTTTGAGCTCATTTCCATCCGCAGTCCCTCACATAAAACATTTAAGAAGTTTACTTTTTACAAACATAGCAAAAACTAAATACATGATATGCAACAGTTGCAAAAGAGCAGAGCAGCATACACAAGTATTTATGACATGCTAATACAATATAGCAGAGCATATAAAGTGCAAGAGGAGATACAAGAGCTGCCTAAAGTGCAAGAGGAGATACCCCTGTATTAAAGTGCATTTTGCTTCTCAACCATTCTTTATCAAACATGTTTGTGCTTGTATGTCACCTATTCTGCTTCTCGTTGTCAAACAGTCTCTGCAGGTCTCTGGTGCGTCTCTCGGCCTGGCTCTTCTCGTCCTCCAGGGCTCCTCTCCAAGCCTCCCACTGCCTCTCCTTCTCCAGCAACTCGTCATTTAGGGACTCCAGCTCCACTACCTGCTCCTCCAGCATGCTGCATGTGGTCTTCAGTGTTTCAATGTTCTGGGAAATAAAACGAGCAAAAACTGTTAAGAACATGTTTCACAGCTATTTGGCAAAATCACACGATTGTTTGTTTGTTACGACCAAGTCGCTGCACATTATCCCGCTTATTACACGGCCACATTCTCAACAAAGTAACGATTTGACTCCAAATATGAATTGAATTGCTTTTATAGATTTAGAAAATGTTTTTATTGATTTAAAAAATAGTAAGCTATTATTTATTTAAAATCACATGAATCCGCTAAGAAAAATAGTCCGTTGTTATTGTTTTAACTAACGTAGCAACGGCAGGAACCGCTTCGATAGCATTTTTGCTGACCTTTTTGATTACAGATTTGAAAACATCATTGCTTGCTTTAAAAGTAGCACAATTCATTATGTCAAACCTTGGAAAGTATCTAGATATCCCTGCCCGAAGGCAAAGTAACTGGCAACTGAATATGTTTTGCCGTTCGATGTTTATGTCTATGTTTGGACCGTTGCGTAAAAAGGAGGGTTTCTGCCCCCTTACTTCTCCTCTGTTTTCTTGTTCCTCTTGTCTTGTCGGTTTGAAAAGCAAACTGCATTTTGGCCAGACTGTATACAGTTAAATCGACCAAACTTTGTGCAGATGTGAGCGTCCTTAACAACGGTCAATAAATCCTTGACAGCAGTCTGTCTGTTCTGGATTAACAACGTGTCACGTGTTCTGAACTGACCAATCAGAATCGAGTATTCAAATAAGCCATGTAATAAATGTGAAATAATGCATTGCATCACTGGTCTGGAACATGAGGATAATTAGGGTTGAACACACTTTACACAATATCTACTAATGTGAGTTATGGTTAATGTGTGTGTTACCTGTTTCTGGTTGTTGAGGTGCATCTCACGGTCAGCCACCTCCCTCCTGAGCCGGTCCACCTCCTGGCTGAGCTGCATCTGGTCCTCCCTCTCATCTGACGCCTCATCCAGCTGTTTGGACAGGTAGAAGTTCTGGCGGTTCAACTCTGCGTTCTCCTGACTCAGCTGCGTGAGCTGCTCCTCCAGTTCAGTGATCACCTGCGGCAACACAAACAGGAAGAGATGTAAGCATTACTTTAACGGATATTTTTCATATTCTGGCCAGAAAATCCAAGGAGGAAGAAGCAATTGAGTAGCAGCAGAGCTTAGCTACTGAAAGTGTACACTTTTACACCAATAATTAGTCATGCCGTCACGATACTGAAGAAGCACACTGATACTGAAAATCCCGTCAGTCAAATAATTTTGTTCAAGCAAGCTTTGAGTGAGTTGAAAATCAAAAAATAACTCAAAGATATTTTAGTTAAAGGTTGAAAGATGTTATTGGATAAACTTCTACATTAATATTGTCCATCTACTTGTTGTTCATGTCATCTCTATAGTTACATGAAATATTTACGAGTAAAAGATGTTGGGAGAATGTGTGCTTCCAAAGATTCAGTAGATTTCGTTGCTAATGAACATTAATCACAGTGTATTCAAAAAAGCCTCGTGTAACCTCTTCAAAATCATTCTGCTGCTGAAAGCGGAGACAAAAGGTTACATCAGCACTTACCGAGCAGCTTTCTCTCAAGGCCTCAAACTTGTGCTGAATTTCATCTCTGTGATTCTGGGAAACAAATGGAGAACAAAAAAAACCTTTTCAGACTTCTTCATAAAATGATGAAAAGTGATATTACAGCATTATTTAAAATGGTCTGAAAAACGTAGCTTTCCAGATTGCCTACATTGGTCGAAATGGTTTGCACTAAATGTATGTGCACCTGTGTTTCTATGGGTGCCTCTGATTGCCTGTGATTGTGTGTGTGTCTCACCCTGAGGGCGGTGATCTCCTCCTCAGCCTCAGCGGTGGTGTCCTCCAGCTCCGTCTTGGCCTGCTGCAGCTGGCTCTCCAGGGCGTGACGAGCCGCCTGCAGGCTGCTGATCTGGGACTCGCGCTCCTGCAGGGAGAGGGTCAGGTCGGATACCTGTCTCTTGATCTCCATCTTCTCTTCCTCATGTTCCAGGCCCATCTACAAAGAAACAGGACTAGGGTGAATGCTGTGTGTATGACAATATAAATCAGACGGGAGACAGATTGTATATGCATGACATTTTCGGCATTTGTTAAGCTGCGCAGTGTATGAGATGGTAATAACCAACCTGTTTATAATCAACAAAAATGACTGAATCAAATCATTTAATCGGTCTCTTTATATACATGTATCAGAATCAGAATCCCTTTAGTCCCACGGAGGGGAAATGTACGTCGTTACAGCAGGAAAAAGAGCCATAGACAGCTTAATGTTACATATGTTAAATATGTGACATGCATTAAAAAAAAGTACTAAGTTATGATATAATAACAAATATAATAAAAATATAAAAAGTTACATAATTTAAAAAAATACACATCCTGTAACAGTTCTTAGGATTTAGCAGCCAGGTATATATTACAGTTATTAACGGCATCTATATATATTGCACATCTAGCACATATTGCACATAGGTGATTTAGCAGCCAGGTCTATATTACACAGTTATTAACGGGATTTATATATTGCACATAGTTTGTTGGTATTTAGCAGCAAGGGGTGATATAGTCTGTGTTGTGTGTGTGTGTGTGTGTGTGTGTGTGTGTGTGTGTGTGTGTGTGTGTGTGTGTGTGTGTGTGTGTGTGTGTGTGTGTGTGTGGTCAACTAGGGGCAGTGCTGGTTGTGTAGTCTGACCGCTGCAGGAAGGAAAGACCTGCGGTATCTCTCCGTGAGACAGCGGGGGTGCAGCAGCCTATCACTGAAGGAGCTGCACAGTGAGGACAGGGTACATTTGCTTCAAGTAGGAATTTCTGGACTTTTACAGAACTTTTTTTTAACGGGATCATAAATGTAAGACCAATTGAGAGGAATAAAGTAGTGCAACCAAGCGGTTAAAGAAAAGGGACAGAATGAGAATCATTAGAGGATATCGGAAAACAAAGGTTCAACTAGCAGAAAGAGAAAAGCAGCTAAAAAAAACTATTAAAAACAACAATTGGACAGCACAGAGAAATCCAAAAGTTTATGATAAAAACAAATGCCTATGCTAATTGGATTTCAACTGTCATATAGGGGTGCAACAACTAATCGACTTAATCGATTAAAATCTAATCTAAATCTAATTCAGTCGTCGATTCGTCGGTGACGTCATCACGTGTGTTT